GAGTTGAAGAAGTGTATTCTTCTTTTCAGTATCGCACATGTAGCAAAGCAATCTCCACAGCATATCATCTGCTCACCACTATCTCAGAATATAAACAAAATAACTGTGGGGTATATAATTTCCTGATCATGTACAATACATCAATCTAGAGTTGCAGTGTAATCAATGGGTGAAATCTGAGCTATATATCAAAATGCAGTGGGCATCTAGAGCAGGACTGCGATTAAACCCCAGCATCAAGTATAAATCCGGCTTAAGGAAACTGAAACAATAAAATCCTGTATATGATAAAAAATGCATACTGAAAAAAAAAGACATTCACAAAACCCAAATGCACTATTCTCAAAGCAGAGACTAGAGTCTCCAGAGCTCTTTTAGGAAGAAACACTGGAGTAAAATTCTAGATAGGCAGCAAAAATGCATGAATTTCTATTGTAATATATTATAAAGCTTACTTTAATCTCTGCAAATGTTTACCACTTAATGGATAGTGCTTTCAGCAGACCAATACAGTAGTTACAGTTATTGACCCCTATGTTTTATTGAACTCCATATTTACTGAACTCTAGAGGGTGATAACACTGAGCTGAGTCACACAGACCTGCAACTCTTATATAATGTTTCAAATTTCAAAACAGAACATAAAGAGCACATACGCCTTAAAATGTCCACCAAATAGAAAAGATCTCTTCATTTCTCAACTCACAAAGCTGTAAAAGAAAATTAGACATATTATGTTTTCAAGTAAAGTTTTATCTGTAATAAGGAAATAACATTTTGGACTTGAGCCCATTTGGACATCTCAGCTACACACCATCTGTTGCTGTGGATAATTCTCTACCTTGTCAATTCGACTGAGTTTTAATCACATATGTCATATTTTGACAAAATATGCAGGACATTGCATATGACTCCTTCACATTAGCAAAAAGAAAAAAGATTCAAAGCTGCAACTTTTAACAGTAGGGTACACAATGCACCTGGATGACAAATTACAGATTGAGAAGAACTATTTTGGTCACATTTTGATAAGTTTTATATAACCATAATTTCAAGTCTTGCAGATGAGTTGTTTTATAAAAGGAGAATTATTAACTTTTTTATGTATGCCATTATTGCTTTCTTGCTTTTTATAGCATAGAGTAATGTTGTTTGTACATCCAGAGACACTTGCTAGTCTTGGCTCTTTCAAGAGCTGTTTGGTGATGAAGGTGTGTCTTGTTTCCCTCCTACACTCTCAACCTTGCTCCTTTTGATTTTACAAGAACAGCCAAACATAGTGGTATACTAATTCATTACTTCACTCTTTGAAGTGTCAATTTAACTCCTTTCCTCTTCCTCAAAACTGAGAATTTTCAGCAACACATAGCAGCTACTAATAAGCTCCTTGCAGCTGAAGAAAAGGAAACAGTAGAAGGCATATCATGCTAAATTAGTGATGCAATCTGCCATTGAATCTTTAATTGTGGGATTAAATCTCACAAGAAGAAGAAGACAATCTGTATTTTCATGGTGGTTTTATATAAGATTTCAGTTTCTGTCTGCTATCATTATCTGATGTTGATGGTGTATACAAGTCACTTAAACAATCCCTCTATTTTCACAGAACAGTGTAATGTGCATATCCTGTTACAACTTGTGCATTTTTTGCAGTTTAAGATGTTAAGCCTCTGTATCAGGGACAGTAGATCTTGGTCTGCAGTCACACCTTCTGCGATATATTTATTTCATGTCACATGCTGTAACTGTTTCATATTCACAGGCTATTTTTAGTTTTCAGTTCACCAGACTGTTGGAACGAACTGAAGACCAATACACATATGGAGAGAACATACAAATTTAAAATCCTGATCAGCGGGTTCAAACTGAGGAACATGATCTTGAAAGTGACGGTCCTGACCTCCATGCCACTACGCCGTCACGTAGGAGGCAACATAAAATCGAAAAATGAGGACAGTCTGACATCATGGTTTGCTGAGCTGACTGGATTTGTGTTCCTTCAATTATTTACAGTGAGAAGGGTCAAAGAGGAGTGCCCGTCACTGCGTACAGGTTTCCTAATAAAAAAGGTTTAAACTTAATCAAATTATGACACCTCATAGGAATAAGAGTGAAAAAAAAGAATGAGATAATTATAGAACCCTTGACAGGACTCCAAAGTGTAGAAACAATGAAAACATTAAACATTACACCAGAAACAAGTTCCTGGGGACACAAGGGGGGGTTTAGTAATACTTAATTACATATAGATAGTTTTTTATGCAACCTTATAAATATTTAAGACCTGTCTGAAAACCTTTGAACAGATGGTTCCAGACATAGACAAAGAAGACTATGAATGTATAGTTTCCTCACACCTAAACAGACAAAATAGGTCACTTGTCACTGCTGTCTACAATGACCTATATGACCGTTCCAAAAACAACTCATGCACACGTTTTCTGTGCTTAAGGTTTAAAAATGCAATGTGTGTTGTTGATGGCCCCATCTACATTTTGTGAATATAACAATGTCATGCTACTTCTACTTTTGCTAAAGGATAGTAATTATTCTCACCACTACGGTTTCTCTAGTTTCTACAACTTCTACCATTTTAACTTCATGCAATTTCCTTCTCATTATACTTAAAAACAAATGCTTCTTTTTACGTGACTGAATTTCTTATTGGACTTTGATAGAGGATTTATTTTCTTGTTTAGGTTGACAGATTTGCTGCTCAATTTTAAACAAGATGATGAATGCAAGTACTTGTACTCAATAAAGGATTTTAAGCAGCGTGCAGCCTGGAGGCTTTCAGACACAGCATAGTGCTGAATACAGCGTTCAGTGTCCTGCAGACAGGTGGCCTCTTTATGAATTCTACTGTATCTATCACTAATGCATCCACAGTACACTCTATTATTTATCATGTCATATCTCATGTGTCCAGCTTGGCATAAACATTTTCAATAGAGAGTGAAGCTTGGGGCTGGACCTAATCTGTGCCCACATTCAGCCACTACACTGCAAACACACACACATATACTGTACAGCACATTCACACAGGTGAGAATAATATTAGACTCAAGGACTCAGAGAAGGATAGATTCCTAGCAGTCGAGAATATGTTATCAAGTGCAGCTCATTTATCATTAAACAGAATCATAAAATCTTGAGGAGGCTGGAGAGGAGAGGGTGGAGAAGGTACAATGTTGAGAGAGTGTGGGAGGATGTGAGAAACAGAAGGGAAGCTCGAGAGGAGGGGGAGAAACAGCAGTACAACAACATAGTAGAGGGGCAAGTGAGAACAGAAAGGGACAGGATAGAGGAGGGCTGAAATGGAATCCAGAATAACAAAGGCACCATAACTGTGCAGAGGAACGTGAGATGAATTGGAGACATGAGCGGGACAGAGGGGGATTCCCTGTTGCAGTGTGGCTCTGCTTCCCTCTGGAGCGTCCTCCTAAGTCCTGCTGTCATCGTGTTTGTCACACACCTGGATGTTTAACACCGACCACCATCATCTTCTCTTCCAGCCTGTCTGTGTGCCTCTGTGGCTGTTTCTGCCTCTGCCTCTCACGTCCCTCCTCCTCCCACTCTCCTCCCTCTTCCACTCCCATAAAACAACCAATGGCACGAAACCAGTCACAGACAGCTTCATCTCTCCAGGAGCAAATGCTTTTGTATGTTTTTTTTTCTTTTAGAGCCATGTACCATTCATATTTGCGTGTTTCATCAAACCAAAAAGTGACGTGTGTGACAGTGTTGGACAGTAAGGCATTAGTAGTAATAACGTTACTCTAATAATATTACTTTCCCCAGTTACTATTAATACATTTCGGTAAATAAATTACATGTTATAACAAGCCCAACACTGCTCTTGAATATTACACACACAACCTGACTTTACCAACTCTATCTTCTAGAAATAACAATATGTTATTAATTTATCTTCCCTGTTACTTTGTGTACAGAACCTAATTTCTGCCTGGATTATGTTCCCTGGAAAAATGTAGGCAACAAAAGCAGTTCATAAAGGTTAGGGAAAGATAGTGGTTTCGGTTGATGAGTTATCCCCACAGGGGATGGGGAGTTGCGTCCCCCCGATAAATGAAATGTGGAAACTCCTCCGCTCAATAACAGTGTTGAATTGACTCTAAAACACAGTTGATGCTCACAGAACTCCTCCTGCTTCCTGTTGGTGTTCATGTCAACAAGCAACAGTGATCACAACATCGGCAAAGCTCAGGAGCATGTGGCAAGTTTTTGGTTGTTCTGTATCCTTGACACGCCAAATACATATCTCTGATACACAAAGTGATCACTCACAGATACAACAGGTTACACAAACCAGTTTGTTCTTGACATGCCTGGACAGGTATTTATCAGTGTAAGAAAGGCAATTTTGAAAACACCAGTCTGTGCTGCACAGTTCTTTCTGTTTTATGAAGTTATTTTTTTGTGTAAAAACAAAAGGCAACATGTTCCAATGAGAATGAAATCACACTGTTTGGACTGCAAGTAACCTTACCAAAAAGGCTCAGGATTATGAGGGTCAATGTGAGACATTCGTGTCACACATGTCTGCATGGTCTGCATATTCACCACTAGAAACAAGGAAGTGAGTTTGGTGATGTTTGACTCTAGATTTTGTTTTCAGTGCAGTGATTTGAAAAAAAAAAATTCATTGGGAGTAATTGAATTTACGTTAATTGTTGCAATCCCAACATCGCAACTTAGAGGGACTGGTTATTATTGAAAATACAGAGGAAAGCTTTGTTTTGTCATCTTTACAAAACATGCTCATATACAGACTTTGTGCACATTTGGAAAGCTTGAAATAGAAGTTAATAATGTACAGGCACAAAGGCATAAATTTGATATCTTTGTGTGTTATACTGTTAGTTTGACAAAAAAGCCATATGAAAACATAATTTCAGGCTCTGACAAATTGTGATTTAATTCATTTTTATTATTATTTGACATTATTTGACATTCTACAATTTTTTCAATTCACTGAGAAGATAATCAGCAGATTAATAGATGATGAGAATAGGGTATATTATTTGCACCCCTATTACTGTTCTTTTCATATTCTCAGTTCTTGCACCTGTAAGGATTTATTTATTTAACCCTTAGTGTAACAAAAAACCCCAAAAGATAATAGTTTGGAAGATTTAAAAAAAGAAAGACAAGGACTGTGAAGGGGAAACTACAGTGGCGGCAGAGATGAGAGAAGAGAGGGATGATCCTGGAAAAAGAAATCTGTGACATTCTGACAAGGACATGGAGATAAAGTGACAAAGGTATGAATACAAACCAGACCATTCGGTTTAAAAGGAGAAGGAGGGTGACACAAAAATAAAGACAGAGACATAGATAACATGAGGGTAAACAAAGATAAGAAATAGGTTTGTTTGTCAGGTTCAATGGGTTTTTGTTACTCCAAAGAAATTATATCAATTTTGATTTTAAGGAGCACTTAACATATTTTATCTAGTCTAGTGGGCGATTATAAATGTTACCTCAGAAAATTGTCATTTAGCTGAGCTATTTTTCCCCTGAACAGCCCAGTTGACTCTCAACTTGTGTATGTTTGATCAACTGCGGTGCTGCAGTCACTCCTCAAACAGAGAGACGGACAAGAGATGATAGAGCAGGAAAAAAGGGAGGCACAGAGAGAGAGGACGGCAGGACAGAGTGTAGGAAATGCTAGCAGATCAAAATGTATAGGAGGAATTACAGTTGCTCCAGCAGCAGCCAATAGCTCAGAGTGACGCTCATTAGCATATGAATCATTAGCATGGCACTGGAGGCTGGAGGCAGGCAGCCATGATGCACAAAGCTTGGAGCTCACAAAGCCATATTTACAGAGAGCACTAAGGTCTCTGATCATGTTTACTGTCATGGACAAACGTACAGCCTCTCTCTGCCTCCTGCGCCAGGGAGCACAGGAAGCAAAAAAAACACTATTCAACAACAACAATAACACAATAATAACACATAGCAGGCAATCACTGTATACATTCAATTCAAGGTCACAGTATTATCAAAAGGAAACCCGACTGCCCACACAGCTACAGTTAATCTTCAATGCCATAGTGTTCAGAAACATTCAGAAACTGAAAAGAACATGGTAGACTCTAAAATGTAAAGTTGTGAAGAAAGATGATTTTCATGAGAGCCATTTCAGTATTGAACCTCAATATGTTTTGGATACCGACTGCAATGTGTCTGTAGCACTGACTATCAAAACCTTAAAAGTACCAAAAGCTGACAGTAAATGTTAATTATTCTTTGATCAAATAGTAATTTAAATACATTTCTCATTTCAGACTATATTTTATTTGGGTCTGTTTATGTAATGTTTAGACATCATTTTAATTTTTTTTATTTAATTTTAGACTTTGGGTTATTTCTTGTTGGCATCACTGAAATGATGAATCCATTATTTAAACAGTTGCAACTTTTGTTAATCAACTAATTAATTACCTAATCGTTTGATCAGTCACATATAAAATATAAAACGGCTAAAGAGATTTAAAACTAATTCCATCTACATAATAGACAGAACTTGTTTTACTCAACATGACACTTACTTAATGATTATATAAAAGTTATTATTTAGTTACAAAAAGAATTATCATGTCACAAACATTTTCCTATTAAAAAGTGTGTGCATGGGAGACATGAAGGAAACTAGATGAGTGATAATCAGCTAATTAGCTAAATGCTAATCTTGTCAGAAGCAGAATTCAGCCCACAAAGAAAAAAACTGAAATTTTACATGATCAACCAATGTCTTTACCAATGTCTCTTGGTCAGTTGTTTTTCCTTCTCTTTATTCTGTGTTGTATGAAACGTTTATATGCCCGTCCATCCCTCAAAACAGAGACCTTTTAATATAAGCTTAAACACAAAAATATCCCCAAAGATGACCTCAGCTCCGTTGCATTAACTTAACATTTTAAACAAATGTTAAAATATGCTTGTGGAAATGTGAATAATAGGCACTGTAACTTACCAGTTTACGCTGACACCAGGTGCAGACGCCACATAGAGCTACCAGCCAAACAGCACACACTACGAATGCAACAGACACCAGGAATACACTGAGAGACACTGAGCCTAAGGGAGAGAGAGAAGAGACACATAGGACAGTATTAGTGCACTTAATGTATTTACTCTGTTCACGTTCCTGATGTTTAAAGTTCACTGTTAAAACTCCCCAAAAGTGTATGTTGGAGTTAAAGAGCAAAGTGTGACAAAACTCCCCATTTTAGGGGGACATGGAGGTGTAACCAGGAGCAATGTAATGTGCCTTCCTTCCTTCTTTCCTTCCTTTCCCCATTCATCCTTGTCATCTGGCATCTGTCATCAGTAAGACACATAGAGAAATGCACCAGGAGTTAGAGGGAAATTACATAAAGGCACTGAAACTGCTTCATGCTCATGTTCCCTGCATGTATCAATAGGAGATGCGCGCATGTCAGGAAGAGATAATATCATGGGGCCAGAAGCCGTGCAATTACCAGCTTCCGTTTTCTCGCTTCTATCTTGTAAATCCTTCAGAAACTTTGTTCCCGTCTCGACAGATGAAAACTTCTTACTCCTTCTATTCCTCGTCTCTCTTTCTTTCAATTACTGCCTCTCAACGATGTCGTTCATTCAGTTGTCTGCCACCTTTTCTGCCAAGTTATTTAAAATTCAATGGCACGCTGGCAAAACAATGGCGGCAAACAATGAGCTCATAACTGCTACATCCTTTTTCTCACCAATACAGTCGATCTTTCTCTGAGTCTCCCTACCTGAAAAATTCCTCTGATTGCTGATTCTTCCCTTTATCCCTTCATTTCACTTGTTATCCCTGGCTGAGCACGTTCAACATTTATACATTTTTTGGGACCAATAACAGCGGAAGTGTATTAGCTAAGCCATCTTAATCATCCTTATCCACCCTCTTCCTTCACATTTTATAAAGCCCCCTTGCCTCGTTTCCTTCAGGTGTTTGTATTAGAGTTAGAGTTCTATACACTGTTATTCTCTGGTAACATTGCTTTCCCTACATTTCTTCAGTCACACAAAAATAACAATAAACATACAAAAAAGCTCAGGAAGATTAGAAATTGTGGTAGTTATTCAGATTAGATGGTGGGTTCTTATAGAAACATTTCTAGCTATTATTATCTGGCATTATTGTATTAAAACAGTGTTAACTTCCCTATACTTCCCCGCCCCCCCTCACTTTTTCTGCTATCTGTCCCTATTGTCAACTTTGTAATAAAGGCATAAAATACCCAACAATACTTACTGAAAAATCTGTGCTAACTGATAAACAAAAACGAAAGCAAAATCTGAAAACAGTTGCTTGGAGAAATGTTTGAAAGGCATTTATTTAAACAGGTTTTAAAAAGTTTGTTCTCTGATATTCTTTCACAAATTAACTGCAAAGCTGGCTGGTACAACCTTACTGAATATATCCGTGTATGTCTCCCAGAGGCTCATCCTGTTTACATCTATGCAGAGGTTTGTATCCTTCCTTTTAGCAATTTGAATTCCTCCAATTATTAAAGTGTCAGCTTCTTTTTACCCACCAGCCTCACCAAAATTAAAGTCTATTCGCCTGTTTGATACGGTATCTGATTTTAAATTGTGAAATATTAGACATGGCAGAATATGGTGGCAATTAAGATCACAGGGTTGAGGGTTTTTTTGCTCTGAGACTTTCAGACTGGCAGAAGTGGGTATGTTGTGGTAACATCACTTTCAAAAGCCTTTCAATGCTTAACAGATAAGTGGTCTCAATCTTACTGGTGTTCTTGCCAATTTAGAGCAATACATACAAAAAAATAGAGCTCTGTTGAAATGGCTACAGAAGCTGAAATACTCTCCAGCTGGAGGGAATACAACTAACTGGAAAGAAGAATGACTCCTTTCAAACCCTTTAGAACTGCCAGACCTCTGTGTGTGGACACACAAGTCTGACAGTTTTTCACTTGGTGGGGTGTTATCAGCAGGGGGACATTGATTTCCAAACACTAGTCCACTAGAAAAGTGATTTTTTTCCACAAGTCAAGATATAATATAATCAGCCTCTATAACCTACGCGATACCTAACTTTAACAGCACAAATTATGATTGATAACTATATACATGCAAGACAACACAAAACATTCTGTAATTGTTATGTTGAAAACACAGTTTCCTGCACATGATTTACATAGTGTACCAAAGTTCAAGGGATTCAAACGTTGCATGCATGTCCTTGATGAGATCCACAGTGATGCATATCTGACAGATTAGCTGCTCAAGGTGTGTTTGCTACCCCAATACACATGTCATTTGAAAATAAACTCTAGGACCTGCATCATGAATACTGTCACTGTCAGTGACCAAAAAAACGATACTAAATTATAACTTGAAAATAAAAACTCTTGGGGCGCCCTGATAGCTCACCTGGTGAGCGCTCAATGTATAAAGGCTGAGTCCTTCCTGCATGCTCAATGGGTTTGAATCCGACCTGCGGCCCTTTGCTGCGTGTCATCCCCTCTCTCTACCTCCTTTCCTGTCTATCTTCAGCTGTCCTATCTAATAAAAAGAGGGGAAAAAGGCCCAAAAACATAAAACAAACAAAAAAAACAGAAGGTTTATATGTTGGGTGTAGTTACTGTAGATAAGTACACCTGGTAATGACATTCAATCTTCAAGCATATGGATATCTTAACTGTATAATAATTTCACAATTTAAAATCAGACACCAAATCAGACACCTCATCAAACAGACAAAACACTTTTACACAAGTTAGTGAGGCTAGTGGGTAAGAGGATGCTGGCACTTCTTTTCTAGAATACCAACCTTTCTTAGCAGTTAATTAATTTTTCTTTTTAAAGTAATGTCAAAGAACAGCAAGAGATCATTTTCTAAGTTGCTCTTTTAATTATATTTATTGAATGCCATATGCCTAAAGCAGCACATTTCAAACCTTTCTTCAAGTAACCACATTTGCAGATTTTCTTTCTATTTTTCAACAAGTTGAAAAGTAATTCTTCCTCCTGTTATCTCAAGCTGCCTTGCAAAAAGTTAAAAACAAACCTAATTTGCATAATGAGATTTGATCGCAGCATATTTGTGAACTGAAATAATGAGAATTATTAATACCAGGTGTACGTAACAAGAAGGCATTATCCAGATAACATATCCAGCTATAGATTGCATGTTTACCCAGTGTTATAACTTTTTTCTGTAATAGTTACAGCTCAGTAGTACTACATTTCAGCACCATGGACAGCATCCATCCCCACTGGTCCCAACCCTGCAGGCTAAAGTGAGATCTGTACACCTGGTGCACAGACTGGGCTGAGCTGGTACAAATTGAAAATATGTACTATAAATATCAAGTCAGCTCTGGTTTCTGAATCTATCATCACCCAGAAATGCCTTCTCTGAATCTTGACACAAAGATGACTGCTCATATGTTTTCAGGAGTCAATCCTACATATGGGTACATATATTTGTATTGGTATTCACAAACCTTTGCATTTATAGATTCTTGTACATGTTCACAGATTTGAGTATGCAAGTATGGACCGAGATAATATTGCTACAATAAAACCTCCATACCTATAGAGAAACCTCATTTATAGTCTCTATCTTTTGGCTTATGATTACAGATGAGGGCAAGACACATGCAGGGTTTTATTGTTCAGCTCTCACTTTACTGTAATGGCTAGATACAACTCTCGTATTACCTCAGCTGCTGCGCCCCACTAGCAATCTGTATGATCTCTTTTACTCACTTGAGAACAAGATCTTTGCCAAGGAGATGAGCTCATACCCTCCAAAATCCACTACCCACTGCGACCTCTCTCACAAATGACCTCCTGAGCATCTGCTGCAGGAACTGGCCTCATTAAAACATACTCATCATTCTTGAGAAGCTTTTTTTTCTTCTTAAATCTATTCTGCCACAAACAATGGGGTCTTGGATTTGCTATGGATACCTTAAAAAGAGTGACATATAACACTATGTCTTCCTCAAAATAGCTTTGACTTTGTGGTTGAAAGTTGAAGACATAACTGTAACTAATAAATATGCTAAAAAAAAGGATGAACAAATTGGATGGATGGCAGAGGGTCAACATCAAAGAAAACAAATGGACACATATTAAAATGTTAACAATTCATGACAGGGTGAGGAGGCTCAGTGAACCAAGTGGACCTCTGTGTGTCGAGCAACTGCTCCTTCACTTTGAGAGGAGCCAGCTGAGGCGGTTCGTCCACCTGGGAAGAAAAAGCTCTTCTCTTTGGAGCTGTAGTGGCCACAACTGACTGAAGGAGACCACAGGACAGGACATGATGCACATCTCCCATCTGGCTGGAGGAAGCTACAAGCTGGCTACCTTGTTGATCTGATTCCTATCTTTTTCCAGCCCTTTCAACCATAATCTTTTCAACAGTCTTCATCAGTGAATGGTACTCTGATTGATCTGTTGACATTCAAGCTCAGCAGCTGTTATAATTGTATGCATAGCACTCTAAAGACTTCTCAACCATATTGTTTTAAAAGTAAAGAATGATTTAAGATGATTTAGGGAAGAAATCAAATCTCCTTCTGATGAAGACTGTATGATGATGTGGTTAAAAGCTCAAAATTAAGTTAGTAAGTGGATCGAGTTGTGACTACTACTGCTAAAATTTCTCAACAAATAATCTTTTTTGCATATTTGTCACACTGAAATGTTTCAGATGATCAAACAAATTTTAATATTAGACAAAGATAACCAGAGTAAATACAAAATGCAGTTT